TTGATATTGGTGTCCTGTACCAGGGCGTGCGGAGCGTGTCAGACATCACCCAAGGCCGCCCGAAGAAGCGGGCTTGGCCGCGGCCCACGAAATCGAGTTGCAGGAGGCTTCGGAGGCTTCTATTCTAAACTTTAAACCCTACCTTGAACTACCATAAACCTACTTTTTTGTAGGTGCTTATTGTAAACCCTAATATAGAATTTATAGGGGCCCTACAAAAAAGTAGGTTTTGGTAGTGTAAGGTAAACCCTAAAACCCTAAACGGTGGTGTATGCGGGGTGGGGGAGCGAACAGCGGGGGGCTGGGGCTGGAAGGGAGCTTAGTTGATGATGAACCCTAAAGCCAAAGCTTTAGGGGTACCTTTAACCCCAAACTTCAAACGCAAAGCCTGAAACTCTGAAATCGGGAGCCCCGACACGGACACCAGAAACCTCAAACCTATAGGTTCTAACCTTGGAAGTCCTCCCGAAACCCTGAACCCTAAACCCCAAACCCTGAACCCTAAACCCTAAACCCTAAACCCTGAACCCTAAACCCTGAACCCTAAACCCGAAACCCTAAACCCCTAAACCCCCATTACAGGCGGCCTTAGTCTCCCGTGGCTCATCTCCAGCTGCATTCATCTCTCGTAGACGTGCAGCTGCAAAGTTAACCTGACAGCGCCCTCTTTGGGTTCACCGTTTTAAACGGGTTTCGGGATGTTCTCCAGTTTAGGATTACCTTCTTTGGGCTTCATATTCACGGTTTTGGGATTGTTTTGGTCTTACTACAGTCTCCACTGTAGTATCATTTCTTGAGTAGCAGCCATTCTTAGGGGCAGAACCTAACAATCGCGAAGCTGGGTGGCCTGGAGCCCTTCAAAACCCCCAAATACTGAACCCTTGAAGACCTAAGGCCTTCCATCGTCTATTATTATTATATTTCATTATACATGGACTCCAATTATTCCATTGACCAATATCTTCTGTAATATTATCGTACTAGATACCCCCGAAACCCTGCACATGTCGTTCTTTGTTTCGCTCCTCGCCGACAGGTTCCCAAAATACCCTACTCTAATTCATTAAGGCCGCTAGATTACAAGCCGAATTGGGGGCGTGGGTTCGCACTCTGTTCTGTAGTAGCAGAGAAGCTCTCGACCAAACAGGAGCCCGGAAGCCTCACACCAGCGAGACCATATAGATCCCTTATAGAGACCCGTTGAAAAGGGCCATTTGAAAGAGACCCTTCAAAGAAGGACCGTTTGAAAGAACCCTGAAAAATGAACCGAATTCTGATTTCGAAGGCTTTGGCGCCTCACCGAGGAAAGCCTCCACATCTGAGCGCAGCTGGTTGAAGCGCTCCTCGTTTAGGGCTTAGGGATGAACTGTTTGGTTTTAGGGTCTAGGGTTAGAACTGTTTGGGTTTTAGGGTTTAGGGTTTAAGGTGGGTTTTCGGGTTGACCTGTGATGGATACGTTCCCCCCCCCTTTATAAGGGTGATAACAGGGATGCTCAGATTAAGGCCTGACGCGCCCTGACCGAAAAAAGGAGCTTATCAATCAGAGGCTTACACTAGATGAGAAATATGCATAGGGTTTTCACCAGCGGCACACCACCTAAACCCTGAACCCTAAAGTCCCTAAAGGTGGCGCAGGGCTGTACTTTTGGGGACCCCAAGGGCCAGAGCACCCCCGGTGATAACACACGTGTGCTGTATGCTAAACTATATCACGGCATCGTGCCGAAGATAAAGTTATGACATACTATACGGTGAACATGCACATACCCCAATCTCCCGCTCTCTCTCTCTCTCTCTCTCTCTCTGCCCCTATATATATAATCTGCAGCGACGAAATTGCTCAGCGTGTTGCTTCTTTTGTTGATGGGAATTCTCGCCTTTGCTGCCTGAATGGCATGATTATTGGGCTCACATCGGAACCGAGTTTACCTTCATAGCAAGACAGCAGTCAAGAGGCACAGCAACTCTAACCAGGAAGGCAAGCTTCGAATTGGAGCAGAGTGTTGAGGTCTTAGGGTTTAGGGTTTCATTTGTTGAACGCCTTTTCCGTTTGACAGATGCTAGGGTTTAGGGCTTAGGGTTTAAGTTTTTTGTTTGAACCCTCTTTTACCTACGGATTTAGGGTTTAGGGTTCAGGGGGAGCTTTCAAGCGAGCAGGATCATAGGGTTCGCGGGTCCGGAGTTGCTTCAACCACGGTCCCCCAACCATGCAGGGCACTAATGTAATTGGAAGAAGGCTTGTGGGTTATGTTATCGAAAGGATGTAATAATTTTTAGTAAACAATCCATCTTCTATATTCTAGATTATATGGGTAGTTTTCTAAATTAGGGTCCCTTTCAGGGTCCTTGTTATTTAGAGAACTATCCATATACCCACCAAACAAATCAGTCCTTCGCGGCTGCGCGAACATGCTTGAGACTGTCTTCCAGGCCTGACCTTGGAAAACTTATCTGTGGGCTGTTCTTGTAGGGGTCCAGGGTTTATGGTTAAGGGTTTGAACTTTCGGATTAAGGTTTTATTGATGAGTTTGGTGTAGGGCTAGGGCTCATTTTCATACCTTGATCCGGTGCTGTACTGGCTGGCGGGTCGTTCAGTGGCAGGTCAGCAACAGGCCTGAAGAAAACCTCTTAACCCTAAATCCAACACCAAGAAACAACAATAGCAAATATCTGAGCCCAAGCCCTGCATGTTCCAAAGGGGTCCTACACCCTAAACCACTGCGCAGCCCATAAGTTGGAAACAACAACTGGGAGAATCAGCAGCCCGGCCGGCCGACGCCGTGGGAAAATCAGTGTTCAGAGCCCTGCAATCGAAAACTGATCAGCTGCAGAAGAGCGCCATGCGACCGTTAATCAGTCTCATCATCGTCATTATCAGCAACAGCAAAAGTTGCAGCACCATTGCCACCATGTCATGACAATCAGCAGCATCAAGCGCGGAAGTAGCACTTCGTCCTGTCCTCCTCCTCATCACCATCGTCATCAGCATCATCGAGCCGTTGTTCCGGCCTCCATGCTTCAGGGTGGCACGGCAATCGCCAAGATTATTATTAGGCACTGTCTCTTGCTGCACCTTCATCCAGGCCGCCATCGCCACCATCCTTATCATCATAAGCCTCATCGTCATCACAGTCTTTCTGGAACCACTACCCATCTGCTCAACTGCAGTACCCTTTTTATTGTCGGCTGGAGTCCTATAATCAGCGAGCCACCCCTGTACCCTTCGACTCTGCGACACAAACCTTGAATCCTAAAATCAAAACGCAAGCCCAAGAGCCTGAACCCGAAAAAGGTACGGACTGAGTTTGAGCATAAGAGCCGAGGCACAAGAATCGCCTGTCAGAGGCTCGCATGGTAATGCAGAGGAAGTGCAAACAGGAGATGCAGCCAACCTGCTGTCGAGTTTTGTGGGAGCTTGATGCTGTAAGGCTTTCAGGGTTAGGGGCTTCAGTTTGAAAGGTGTTGAAGGGTTCGGGTTTGAGGGTTGCAAGGTTTTAAGGTTTCATGCCTTAGGCCTGCAGGCTTTTTCAGGGTTCGCGGCTTCAGGGCCACAGGCTTGCAAGAGGGCTCAAGAGGGAGGGCTCGACTTGAGGCGTTCTTGAACCCTCGGACTTCATAGCTTAGAAGGGTTTAGAATTTAGGGATTAGGGCAAATGCCACTAAACCTATAGCTGGCTACCGGATGTTCATTGAGTTGATGTAGGGGCCTCCATGACTAGAACAAAGAACAAGGGTTTTGGTGTAGATTGCTATGATTCGAACCGGGCTATAAGGTGAGTGCTTGCAAAAAGGTGAAACCGCACGGCTTGAGGACGTGGGGGCTGTGCAGGGGCTTTTTGGGGTGTAGACGGTGTAGTGTTTCGGGTGAAGGCTTGAAGGTCTCAGGATTTCGAGTATGGATCTAAACCTTCGGGATTTACGGTTCAGGCTTTAGGATCCCCTCAGCCCTGAAGAAAGTCTGTTTTCCCACGATCTACTCTCAAAGCTGTGGTCAAAGTGCATCTCCCTGCTCAAGCGACCCCTAGAGCTGCAGCTGCTCAGGAGGGACACTGTGCAAAGTGGAGACAGCACTTGACCGGACTTCAAATCGGCAGCGCTGACCTGGTACCCAAAGTCCTAAAGCACCGAAAAAGCCCCTAAACCCTAAACCCTAAACCCTAAACCCTAAACCCTACCAATAAGGCCTTCCTCGACCACCTCTGCACCTTTCGGAATCCAGATCAGCGCAGCAAGCAGTAGACGAATTTGGATGCTCTACTGGCACTGCCAGTCGGGGGTGCTCTAAAATAGGATTCCTCCCTCTAGCTAGAGATAGGCCTAAACCCAAACATCCAAAGTACCTCGACTTAGTCTCCAGGCTCTTCCTCTAGGACTTTCGGAGCCTTAATGAGTGAAGGATTCCTCTGTCCTTCTCAAAAGAACGCGGTTTATATGAATCAGAAAGCGGCCGTGCTAATATAACATCTTTTTCTGATTTCTATGTTATACGTTGTATTAACCGTTGGTGTTGCTCATACTGAAAATAAGTACTAACTACAAGCCTTGCGAAAACTTCCTCTGCAATTACGTCTACATTCAATACTATTACAAAAGCTATTGCTAAAATCATTGCTTCTATTTTGCTGCTTATATTAGTGGTACTATTATGACCACTACGACTAATATTAAGGTCTTTGTTAATTTTTCGTGTTACTATATATTTGCGTTGTTATTACGATTATTGCTGTTACTATTGCTCTATATAATAACACTGCTTGTAGTATGACTGTGGGGGCGATCTGCAGGCACGAGCAGCCCCCAGGAGGCCATGGAAAACGAAGAGCGTGGCCACTTGACCAAAAAGATTCAGGGCTCAGGGGCTTACGGTTAGTTTAAGGTTTAGGGTTTAGGGTTTCGGGTGTTCGGGTTTAGTTTGTGGGGTCGCAAAGGATTTAGAGGGGTTTTCAGGTACAGGTCTTGACGGGTTTAGTTCGGTTGCGCAGCAGTACGCGTTGCAAGAGTCATATGGGCGGCAAAAAGAATCTGTCGCATATGCCGTTCCTCAGCAAGTCGCTCGCGTCCTTGGAGATGCGCTTGACGTCACAGGGATCCACCCTCTCTTCCAAACAGTTCGTTCCTTTCCAGTCAGGTCTCTCTTCCTTGCTAAGTGCGATGGTGTGAAAAGGCTTGGCTTTGCCCTTGATGTACAAAGTCAAAGCCTTGCCACTTTCCTGAACTGTCTTGTGATAGGTCGTGGCATCCAAGAAATACGAACTGCCAGTCGAATGCTTCCAGCAAGTCCTGCACAGAAGTGATCCCGACTTCCTGTCCCCGGGCTTCTTGAGGGCTTCATCCTGCGAGCGATTAAACTCGAAGTGGCCACCAAAGTCGCCCTGCCGATCCTCACCGACATCCCAGATTTCGTTGACGTAGCTTCCATATAGACACACCGAATGGAAGTTGGCCCTATGGCTGTGCACATAGGTTTCAGAGGCGTCTTGGAAGAACAGGTGCAGGCGCACATCCACCCCTTCGCCATTGAAGATATGGATGCGGTACATCAAGTTCGGTTGCAAGTCCACCGTCCTTTGGTGCTCTTTCGTCCCGAGAAGCCGCAAATTCACAACACAACTTTATTGTCAGATATGGAGGGCATATACTTTTGCAGGGCCTGGCCTGAGGGCTTTGAGCTTCGGTGTCCAGGAGTGCTATGGATTTTCTGCTATGACAAGTCTTGGTCAATTGTAATCTTGTCCTGGATGCCCTTATACAGGTTGCTCCATGCCATGACAACCCAGATGATGACGATGCTGGTGATGATGCCGATGGCGATGATGATGGTGCGATGAGGATTACGCTGCTGATGATGATGCTATGATGATCATGATGATGGTGATGGTGATGATGATGATGATGATGATGATGATGACGATGATGATGAAGATTGTGATGATGACGATGACGATGACGATGACGATGACGATGACGATGATTATGAAGCTGCTGCTGATGATGATGATTATGATGAGAATCGCCAAGGCGCGAGACATGCTGCCACTGCTGCCGCAGCTGGCTTTGTTGTTGCTGCCGCTCCCGGTTGCTGTTAAAAGATGATACTGCTATGAACAGTATTGCATAGCACTGCACAGCTACAACGACGACGAAGTCCAACAAAAAGCCTGCAAACGAGTCTCAGCTGGGGAAACAGTTCTTCCCACTTCTCGCAGCAAAGCATAACAGCCCGGAGCTTTCTGGCAATCTCCTCGACAATGTCCCCGTCCTGCTTGCGCACTTCAACCGGATGCCGCTTTGCGACGAGCTTGTCGAGGCTTTCAAGAAGGCATTGAAGCTCCTGAGGTCCGTCAAGGTCGAACGACGAATCTCAGAAGCAGTGCCTTCAGTATACCTTGCTTCACAGAGCTACTTGCTCAAAAGTGTGTTGCATAGTCAGGTGATCTGTCAGCTGTAGCACACGACGCTGCACATACTCCCTTGAATCCCAAGCAGCATGACGTCTATGTCTCTGTGGGTGGTAAGCTGAGGTCCTAACTTCGTCGAGTTCCGGCATGATGACAGCATCAGCATGATTTTGAGTGTTTCCCTTTAAGGTCCTGAAGCTCGGCAATGCTGCCCTCAAGGCACGAGGTAAGTGGGCGACACGAAACTTTGCATCGTGTTGCCCGCCTGGGACAGCGGGAGCTTGTAACGAAGCCTGCTGCCAGGGCGGCCGCACACACGGACGAGAAGCGCCATTCAAGATTCCGAGAGCTGTTGATGCACTTGCTCACCGGATGCACTCGAAGAGGGCTCTGTTCCACGGGCTGCCACGTCGAAATGCCGGCCACATTCCGTATCTGCGCCATAAACCCCGAAGACCACAACACGACTGCTCCAAAAATGCGAGTGCTTGAGCCGAATGCAGCTTGTGTCCAAGCTCAGCTAGCTTTCCGGTTGGGAGTATATAGCAGATAGCAGATGCATGGCGTGCGCGGCTCTCGGATTGACGAAACTGCAAGCTCCGGAAGGGGGCAGTTCACTCATAATCTTAGTATTAAGCATCTTCTACGAAACACTTCTTGAGAGATCTGCGCATCCGACCCTTAGTGGCACAAGCCCCACACGCACATATCCTCTGTAGATCTCAGCCTGCAACGTTGAACCCTGAACGAAACGTGCGCCTACCATCTTGGCTGTGAGCGAAAACCATAACCCCTAAACCCAAAGCACTATATGCCCTGACCTTAATTAAGCCAAAAATCTGAAAACGCGATGATCTCTGTAAACCCCAAACCCCCTTCATAAGCCTCCACAGAACCCGTATTTTTGCCGATAAAACCTTTCCAGACAAACTTTACACATACGCATATATGTATATATAACTAGACACATATATATATATATATACACATACATATTTGTTTACTTATTATGTGTGGGCATGTGTCTGTATATATATATATATATATATGTATATACAACACCTCTAAAGCCTAAGATCACGGCACACGAGTCAGAGGAAGCCTTGAAGTTCGCCAGAGACTGCAAGGACTCAATGCCGAAGGCTCTGACGCGCTCGCCCTGCACCGTTAGTTTAGGGTTTAGGGGGTTCGGGGTTCAGGGGAAAGGGTTTGGGGGTTTGGGGGTTGGGGGTTGGGGATTTGGGGCTTAAGGTTTTCAAGGGCTGAGTCGCAATCCGAAAGCAAAATATAGGGGCCGTAATAGTTAGAGTGGGGGTTGTGGGTTCTACAATAGTCATATGCTGGAACCCCAAAACGATGGACATCAAGAACTATTTAGTCCGCTATATTCGGGTAGTGAGTTTGGGAGCTTTCGGGTTTAGGGCCTAACTTCTCAGATTGGGGGTACGAGAGCTCTTGATTCACGGATGTAGAGCATAAGCTGATAGGGTTCGGGTTCGGGGTTTAGCGTCAGGGTTCGGGGGTTGTCTGGGCCTTAATCATCAGAATAAGGTTTGGGGTGGTTATTATACTGCGATTATAAGTAGTCACAGGGGACCCTAAGGACACATGCTTGAAAATACTCCAACTCTCATAGTAGGGCTCGGTTAGTTGTGGATTCAAACTGTGTAGGCTCTCCCCTGAACCCCCTAACCTAACCCTGAACCCCTCAACCGAGAACCCGACACCCTGAACCCTATTCTCAGCAAGAAGCCCAAGAGTCAAAGGCAGATATCTCTGGAGACGCGGCACCATGAATCTTTTCAGGGCTCCTTTAAGGCTTTTCGATAGAAATCTAGAAGGGTTCCTTTCCGGGCTCCTTGAAGTAATCCAAGATAAACCGATATGTGCAGGCCTCAGAACACCCATATGCCTACATGAACCACCCGAACTCCAAAAGCGCTAAACCCAAAAGAAAGCCCCCAAAACCTATCCACCTCCGATAAGCTGTCAAAGAAGCCCTGCATAAGCGAATGAAAGGCGTCGGTGGTTGCCTGCGCATTTGCTTGGTCGCCGCCGTTGATGTAGTTGCCCGCCTGTGCTGGGCTGGGACGAAGGAGTTGAGGAGTAGTTCAGGAGGGCCGCACCTATAGTCTCGATTTAGTTTGTTTGTTGTTGGGTTGATCTTTGTGTGGTATCTGACTCTAGGACTCTAGGAACGACAACGGAGGGCTTTGGGATATGGGTCTTGGGATTTCGCCGTTGCGGGGACCCTAAGCCCTAAACCCTAAAAGCCCTAAACCCTAAACCCTAAAAGCCCTAAACCCTAAACCCCAAACCCTAAAAGCCCAAAACCCTAAACCCCAAAAAACCCTCAACCCTAAACCCTAAAAAAGGCTTTGGAATTCCGGAGCCAGGGTTCTAAACCCTGAACCCAAACCACGAAACCATATTCGACGCACCATTTGCTTCGGCAAGGGTCTCAGAAGCTGGAGGCTTCAGTGTCGGGTTTAAGGGTTGACGTCAACACCCCAGCTAACCGAGGTGCTCAAAACACCCATCCTCAGGCTTTCATGCGGTAAGCATAGTTTTTCCTGTTTTGTTGGAATCTCCAGAAAAGGAGACGGAATAATATCCCTAAACCCTAAAGCCTAAACCCTAAACCCTAAACCCTAAACCCTAAACCCTAAACCTTTACCAAAGTAAAGTGCAATGCCTGTCAGCCCTGGTAACAGCCCTGGTGAAAGGGACCACGACAAAAAGCATGTATTGGCCTCTAGGACGATGGCCAGGAGCTCCCTAAACGGAACGGAATTCCTGTGGCCGTGTTGAGGGATTAGGGATGATTAGGGATGACTAGGGTGTTGAAGGGTTTGGGGTTGGGGAGGGCTGGAATCAAACCTGAATCCCGTGACAGGGTATCCAAGGCTTTGCGGATCTCCAAAATGAACTTACGAAAGCCCTTCGCGTGAACACCTTGTGAATTGAAGAAAGTGGCTCCACCGCTCCAGCCCAGCTTGAGACTTGCAGTGCTTTCGCGACATGGCAGGTGGGAAGTACGAAACCCAAACCCTACACCCTGAACCCGAAAGCGACTCTTGGAACTCCCAAGCCCAAACCTAAAATGCTAAAACCCCAAAGCCGCACTCATAGGATTAGGATTAGGGGGGGTGGGGGTGGGTGGGTGCAGGGGCATACTTGTCTGTAAAGCTGTCAGCGGCCTCAGGAAATTGAAACTCATCGGGTTTAGGGCTTTTTGGGTTTTCGGGTTTGGGATCAAGGTTTAGGGTTTAGGGTTGGGGTTTAGGATTTAGGGTTTAGGCTGAAAAATGCCCTAAAACCCTATTCTATTTGCTCACGCCCAGAAATTGTAGAACCCTCCTACGACCAGGCGAAGGAAGCTAACATAAGCCACCGGATGCCAGACATGGTCCTTGACTCCTCCGCCGCTTGCTGTAGTACCTGCAGGGGTTTGCTTTTAGGGTTTAAGGCTCTAGGCTTGGGTCTTAGGGTTTAGGGTTTTAGGGTTTAGGGTCAGGTGAGTTGAACTCTGAAAGGGATTTGGTCCAGCAACACATCCACACACACACAGGACTTATTATTGAGCAGATAGTAACAAGCTCAAACGTAACTGTAGCAGAAATGACAAAAAAGCTAGTAGTAGTGGTAATCGTATCAGATTTTCCTTCCAGGTGCGAAGTTCGAACTGAATCCTGGAAGGCCGGAAATCACCGCGTGCAAGTATGATAAAGGCGCTTTGTGAATATCAAGACGATAGGATAAGGTGTTGAGGTGTATATATCTTGCTATGAGTATAATGCGGAAGCGTAAGGAACAGTGTTGATAATCATTCAGGCTTCTATACTTCACACCCAGCAGCCTTCTCCAACAGCTCAAGCCATCTTGAGATTTGCGACCTTTCGGGCCGCCTTGGAGCCCCTTGCAAGACTGTTATTTTGAGCATTGGAAATCCTTCTCAAAGACTGTGCCGCACCACGAATAGGCATGTATCTTCAACAGAGACCTACCTAGGTTTAGGGCCCTCTCGGACCTCGGCGCTTCTTTGTCAGAACGTCCCGAAGGCCTTTCATCTCAGCATGAGCCCATCGATGCCTCATTTTAGCATATGCTAACCCTCAGCCCTGAATCCTCGATTCGGCCCAGATCTCGTGCCTTCCACAGCTCTATACACACCACGCTACAGCAAGCAGACACAAGGATTGCCAACTATCATGATGATGCTCATATGGGCATTGCCGATTAGGTACTATACTAGTGGGTAGTTCTCTACATTAGGGTCCCCTTTAGGCCCACAACATAGTACGGCACCCTTATAAAAAGGACCCTAAAAGGCACCCTAATTTAGAAAACTACCCAGATGATTGGTCGATAGTAATCTGTTGTTGAACACTCCGCCATGGGCTGGGCCTGGCAGCGCTCCATCAAACTTTCCCGGATCGTCCTGGGCACACGAAGGCTCACAAGAGCCTTCTTGGGCACCGGAAATCTCACCCAGGGCCACTCCACCACAGTATCGTCTAAGCAGAAAGAGGTTTGCGTGTAAGTAATATACTAAAATAGACTATGATATACTGTGACATACCAAAATATACTATGACATACCAAAATATACTATGACATACTAAAATATACTACGTATGACATACTAAAATATACTATGACATACTAAAATATACTATAATGTAATGTAGTGGACTCGCGTAAAAAGGCCTCAGGCTTCGGGTTTGCAGCGTCGGAGTTCCGGGGTTTGGGGTAGTCAGTACCTCAGTCCTACACCAATTGAATCTCGATGAATCTCTCGATCTATGCTTGTGTAAATAAATATATATGTACATATAGATGTATGTAGATGCACATGAATAGATATATATATATATATATGTACACACACATTTACTTGTCTATGTCTATGTGTGTGTGTGTGTGTGTACAGAGACGTGTACATATGCACACATGCACAGAGACATGTCTGTACAAAGACCTGTAGTCCAGCACTCCACATATGTGCATGTGTACATGCATGCATGTGCGCACAAGTATATGTATGCTGCAGCATATACAGCAAGACACATATATGTTTATATATATATATATATATATTATACAATTCTTTTCGGCATATATTATGCAGACTAACATTCAAGCCGATATACGCACACGTACATACGCACATACATACATAC